CAGGACAAATCTCCACAGGGGATAGGTCTCCGCAGAGGGACAGGTCTCCACAGGGGGACAGGTCTCCACAGGACAGGTCTTCACAGGACAGGTCTCCACAGGGGACAGGTCTTCACATGGGTCAGGTCTTCACAGGCTAGGTCTCCACAGGGGCCAGGTCTCCACAGGGGCCAGGTCTTCACAGGGGACAGGTCTCCACAGGGGACAGGTCTGCACAGGGGGACAGGTCTGCACAGGACAGGTCTCCACAGGGGGACAGGTCTTCACAGGGGGACAGGTCTCCACAGGGGGACAGGTCTCCACAGGGGGACAGGTCTCCACAGGACAGGTCTCCACAGGACAGGTCTCCACAGGGGACAGGTCTTCACATGGGTCAGGTCTTCACAGGCTAGGTCTCCAGAGGGGCCAGGTCTCCAGAGGGGCCAGGTCTTCACAGGGGACAGGTCTCCACAGGGGACAGGTCTCCACAGGACAGGTCTTCACAGGGGACAGGCCTTCACAGGGGACAGGTCTCCACAGGGGGACAGGTCTCCACAGTGGGGCAGGCCTCCACAGGGGACAGGTCTCCAGAGGGGGACAGGTCTCCACAGGGAGACAGGTCTCTACAGGGGAACAGGTCTCTACAGGACAGGTCTCCACAGGGGACAGGTCTCCACAGGACAGGTCTCCACAGGACAGGTCTTCACAGGGGACAGGCCTTCACAGGGGACAGGTCTCCACAGGGGGACAGGTCTCCACAGTGGGGCAGGCCTCCACAGGGGACAGGTCTCCAGAGGGGGACAGGTCTCCACAGGGAGACAGGTCTCTACAGGGGAACAGGTCTCTACAGGACAGGTCTCCACAGGGACAGGTCTCCACAGGACAGGACTTCACAGGGGACAGGTCTCCACAGTGGGACAGGTCTCCACAGGAGGACAGATCTTCACAGAAGGCAGGTTTTCACAGGGAACAGGTCTCCACAGGGGGACAGGTCTCCACAGGGGGACAGGTCTCCACAGGGGGACACAGCTGTCCACAGGGGACAGGTCTCGACAGGGGACAGGGCTCCTGAGGGGACAGGTCTCCACAGGACAGGTCTTCACAGGGGGCTAGGTCTCCACAGGACAGGTATTGACAGGGGCAGGCCTTCATAGGGGACAGGTCTCCACAGGACAGGTCTCCACAGGGGGACAGGTCTCCACTGGGGACAGGTCTCCACAGGAGACAGGTCTTCACAGGGGGACAGGTCTCCACAGGGGCCAGGTCTCCAGAGGGGCCAGGTCTTCACAGGGGACAGGTCTCCACAGGGGACAGGTCTCCACAGGACAGGTCTTCACAGGGGACAGGCCTTCACAGGGGACAGGTCTCCACAGGGGGACAGGTCTCCACAGTGGGGCAGGCCTCCACAGGGGACAGGTCTCCAGAGGGGGACAGGTCTCCACTGGGGACAGGTCTCTACAGGGGACAGGTTTCTACAGGACAGGTCTCCACAGGGGACAGGTCTCTACATGGGGACAAGTCTCCACAGTGGGACAGGTCTCCACAGGACAGGACTTCACAGGGGACAGGTCTCTACAGGACAGGTCTCCACAGGGGAACTGGTCTCCACAGTAGGACAGGTCTCCACAGGACAGGTCTTCACAGGGGACAGGTCTCCACAGGGGGACAGGTCTCCACAATGGGACAGGTCTCCACAGGGGACAGGTCTCTACAGGACAGGTCTCCACAGGGGACAGGTCTTGACAGGACAGGACTTCACAGGGGACAGGTCTCCACAGGACAGGACTTTACAGTGGACAGGTCTCCACAGGACAGGACTTCACAGGGGACAGGTCTCCACAGGGGACAGGTCTCTACAGGACAGGTCTCCACAGGAGTACAGGTCTTCACAGGGGGACAGGTCTCTACATGGGGACAGGTCTCCACAGGACAGGACTTCACAGGGGACAGGTCTCCACAGGGGGACAGGTCTCCACAGTGGGACTGGTCTCTACATGGGGACAGGCTTTCATAAGGGGCAGATCTCCACAGAGGACAGGTCTCTATAGGGGGATAGATATCTACAGGGGGACAAGTTTCCACAATGGGACAGGTCTCCTCAGGACAGGTCTCCACAGGTCTCCACACAGGGCAGGTCTCCACAGGACAGGTCTCCTCAGGACAGGTCTCCACAGGTCTCCACACGGGACAGGTCTCCACAGGACAGGTCTCCTCAGGACAGGTCTCCACACGGGACAGGTCTCCACAGGACAGGTCTCCACAGGAGGACAGATCTTCACAGAAGGCAGGTTTTCACAGGGAACAGGTCTCCACAGGGGGACAGGTTTCCACAGGGGGACAGGTCTCCACAGGGGACAGGTCTCCACAGGGGACAGGTCTCCACAGGGGGACAGGTCTCCATAGGACAGGTCTTCACAGGGGACAGGTCTCCACAGGGGACAGGTCTCCACAGGGGGACAGGTCTCCACAGGGGGACAGGTCTCAACAGGAGGACAGGTCTTCACAGGGGGATAGGTCTCCACAGGGGGATGGGTCTTCACAGGGGGACGGGTCTCCATAGGAGAGGTCTTCACAGGGGGACAGGTTTCAACAGGACAGGTCTCCACAGGGGGACAGTTCTCCATAGGGGACAGGTCTCCATAGGAGAGGTCTCCACAGGGGACAGGTCTCCACAGGACAGGTCTGCACAGGGGACAGGTCTCCACAGGGGACAGGTCTCCACAGGGAACAGGTCTTCACAGGGGGACAGGTCGCCACAGGGGGACAGGTCTCCACAGGACAGGTCTGCACAGGGCAACAGGTCTCCTCAGGACAGGTCTCCACAGGACAGGTCTTCACATGGGGACAGGTCTCCACAGGGGGACAGGTCTCCACAGGGGACAGGTCTCCACAGGACAGCTCTCCACAGGGGGACAGGACTCCACAGGGGACAGGTTTCCACAGGGGACAGGTCTCCTCAGGGGACAGGTCTCCACAGGGAGACAGGACTCCACAGGGAACAGGTCTCCACAGGACAGGTCTCCTCAGGGGACAGGTCTCCACAGGACAGGACTCCACAGTGGGACAGGTCTCCTCAGGACAGGTCTCCACAGGGGACAGGTCTCCACAGAACAGGTCTCCACAGGGGGACAGGACTCCACAGGAGACAGGTCTCCACAGGACAGGTCTCCACAGTGGGACATGTCTCCACAGGGGACAGATCTTCACAGGGGGACAGGTCTCCATAGGACAGGTCTTCACAGGGGACAGGTCTCCACAGGGGGACAGGTCTCCACAGGACAGGTCTCTACAGGAGGACAGGTCTTCACAGGGGGATAGGTCTCCACAGGGGGATGGGTCTTCACAGGGGGACAGGTCTCCATAGGAGAGGTCTTCACAGGGGGACAGGTTTCAACAGGACAGGTCTCCATAGGGGACAGGTCTCCACAGGGGGACAGGTCTCCACAGGGGGACAGTTCTCCATAGGGGACAGGTCTCCATAGGAGAGGTCTCCACAGGGGACAGGTTTCCACAGGACAGGTCTCCACAGGACAGGTCTGCACAGGGGAACAGGTCTCCTCAGGACAGGTCTCTACAGGACAGGTCTTCACAGGGGGACAGGTCTCCACAGGAGGACAGATCTTCACAGAAAGCAGGTTTTCACAGGGAACAGGTCTCCACAGGGGACAGGTCTTCACAGAGGGACAGGTCTCCACAGGGAACAGGTCTCCACAGGGGGGCAGGTCTCCACAGGGGGACAGGTCTCCACAGGGGGGCAGGTCTCCACAGGGGGACAGGTCTCCACAGGACAGGTCTCCACAGGGGGACAGGTCTCCACAGGACAGGTCTTCACAGGGGACAGGTCTCCAGAGGGGACAGGTCTCCACAGGACAGGTCTTCACAGGGGACAGGTCTCCACAGGACAGGTCTCCACAGGACAGGTCTCCACAGGAGGACAGATCTTCACAGAAGGCAGGTTTTCATAGGGAACAGGTCTCCACAGGGGACATGTCTACACAGGTGTAAAGGTCTTCAAAGGGGACAGGTCTCCACATGACAGGTCTCCACACAGGACAGGTCTCCAGACGGAACAGGTCTCCACAGGGGACAGGTCTCCACAGGGGGACAGGTCTCCACAGGACAGGTCTCCACAGGGGGACAGGTCTTCACAGGGAACAGGTCTCCACAGTGGGACAGGTTTCTACTTTGGGACAGGCCTTCATAAGGGGCAGACCTCCACGGAGGACAGGTCTCTATAGGGCGATAGATATCTACACGGGGACAAGTTCCACAGTGGGACAGGTCTCCTCAGGACAGGTCTCCACAGGGGGACAAGTTTTCACAGAAGGCAGGTTTTCACAGGAAACAGGTCTCCACAGGTGGACAGGTCTCCATAGGACAGGTCTTCACAGGGGACAGGTCTCCACAGGACAGGTCTCCACAGGACAGGTCTCCACAGAAGGACAGATCTTCACAGAAGGCAGGTTTTCATAGGGAACAGGTCTCCACAGGGGACATGTCTACACAGGTGTAAAGGTCTTCACAGGGGACAGGTCTCCACATGACAGGTCTCCACACAGGACAGGTCTCCACACAGGGCAGGCCTCCACACAGGACAGGTCTCCAGACGGAACAGGTCTCCACTTGGGATATGTCTCCACAGGGGACAGGTCTACATGGGACAGGTCTTCACCGGGACAGCCTGCACCCGGGGCGGCCTCCCAGCAGCTCCGAAGCCCGGGAGAAGCAGGCCTCGCCTCCCATCCCCACCCGGGCTCGCGTTTCCCGGCCAAGGCACCTCCCGGGGGTCGATCCCTGCTTGGGGAGGAAAGGCGGCCCTCCTCGACTTCGCAGGGGTCCATCGAGGGGCCCAGGCGCGACCCCCCGGGTCTGCGTGGGGAAGGGGGAGACCGCGAAGCCGGAGCCCCCGTTCAGAGCCGCTGGGCCTCGCGCAGGCGCACGGCAGGCCCCGCCCCCAATTGCGCGGCCCCGCCCTGCCGGGGGTTGCTAGGGGAAGTGACGTCATAGCGCGATGGCGGCGGCTCCTTTAGGCAGCTGAAGGGGGATTTAGGCCCGGAAGATCCGAGTCCATCCGCGGCGGGGAGAGGGCGAGCGGGGCCGGCGGGGGCCGGAGCAGCGGCGGCGGCGCTCGGACTGTCCCATCCGCCCCGTATTGAGGCGCTGGGAGCGGCGGGGCGGCCGGAAAGCGATGGTGAAAGCGGGGCCGTGAGGGGCGGAGCCGGACGGGACCCGCAGTAGCGGCAGCAGCAGCGGCGCCGCCTCCGGGAGCGCAGACCCAGGAAGCGGCCGGGCGGGCAGGAGCGAGCCGCGCCGCCGCCATGGAGCTGAGGGTCGGGAATCGGTACCGGCTGGGCCGCAAGATCGGCAGCGGCTCCTTCGGAGACATCTATCTCGGTGAGGCCCGTCCGAGCGTTCGGAGCGGGCCGGGCCGGGCCCGCGGGCGGGGTCGCCGGGAGGCCGGGGCTGCGCGGGCGCCGCCGGGCCGCAGGCCGCCCGGGGCCAACGGCCGGGCGCGGGCGCGGGGCGCGGGGCGGGGGGGCGCGGGGCGGGGGGGCGCGGGGCGGGGGGGCGCGGGGGGGGGGCGCGCGGGGCGGGGCGGGGCGGGGGGGGCGCGGGGCGGGGCGGGGGGGCGCGGGGCGGGGCAGGGGGCGCGGGGCCCGGCCGCCCTCCGCCTCCGCCGTAAACAAAGGCCGGCGGCCGGCGGGGGTCGGGCGCCCGCGGCCCCGGGCGGCCCCGCGCCGGCCCCGGCCTCCCGGCGACCCCGCCCCGCCCGGCCCGGCCCCTCGGAGGGGAGCCGCCCTTGGGGCCCGGGCCCGCCGCGCCGGCCTGCGGAGCCCGGAGCCGGCGGGAGTTAGAGCTGAGGTGAATGCCCGCCCGTGTTGGCCCGGGGAAGTTGCCACGGCCTCCGTCTCGGTGCGGTCCGGGGCTTTGTCCCCGAGCCGGGCACCGCCCCGCTTCCGGCCTGTGGCAGCCTTTGCTTGCCGCCCGGGAGGCTGGCTTGGAACGGCCGCCTGAGCGCCTGGCGCCACCCGGCTGGCCCTAACTTCGGACTCGTATAATTCTCCAAGTAAACTTGAAAAAAAAAAACACGTTGTTTGGGTTATGTCAGATTCACAGAGAAAAGACGTGCACACGTGTCATTAAAAGTTGACTGACATCTTCTAGTTGGCGGTTTTTAAGTTCATTTTGCTGTGCTTCTTCGTGGAATTGTACTCGAATTATTCCACGCACCATGATCGCGAGCACTTGCAGCCTGCCAGTGCTGCGCGGCTAGAGGAGAGGCTGCCTGTCTGGGGCAAACGTGTTTGTGAAGCAGCCGGCTCCCGCGGGGAGAGGCAGCAGCGCCTCTGGCCTGGCCTCCAGACTCCACACTCCCACCCTTCTATAGGACCTTGGGGCTGATCAGGTGTGGAGGTGAACTAGCCTATTAGCAGGTCCTCAGTTACATTTGCTGCCTGGGTGCACGGGGTAACTTCACCATGTGCTGCCTCGATGCCTTTGAACCTGTGCTTCTGCTAGAGTGGCCTGCTAAGTAAAATCTGCTTTAGAGACGCTGGGGTTTTGCTGTTTAAATATTTATGACCAGGTAGTTAGCTAGATGTCTTCTCTGCAATGTTTTGGGAGTCAAAAGTGCTGGGCACATTGAAGCTGCTTGGCATATTTATAGAACAAATAGATTTTGGCAAAAGTTTTAACCTTAGGATCTACTGGAAAGTTAATAGCCACCCTTTCACAGGCATCAAAAGGTAGGCATTTTGAAGCCAAGCGCTGGTGGCTCACGCCTATAATCATAGCTACTCAGGAGGCTGAGATCTAAGGGTCATGGTTCAAAGCCAGCCTGGGCAGAAAGGCCATGAGCATCCCTTCAATAAACTACTCAGAAAAAGTTGAAAGTGGAGCTGTGGCTCAAGTGATAGAGCGCTCCTTGAGCAAAAAAACTCAGTGCCCAGGCCCTGAGCTCAAGCCCTAAGGCAAAATATTAAAGAAATTAAAATTTTTAAAAAAGGTATTTTAGACCTTTGGTCTCAAAGTCCTTGCCCAAACACGTTGTGCTTTCTGAAGATGACCAGCGCTTCACGTGTGGTGTGGCTGTCACAGCATTCGGGTGTGAGTGCTCCTCTTGGAGACGGGGCCTGGTGAGGGCTCACTGCGCGTTCACTGTGCTGGCCACACAGCGGGCGCTTGGCCAGGTGGGCTGACCTCCAGAGAGGTGTACCTGACTTCCTGTGTGTTCTGAAATGGATTGCTACGGTTCTGGGGTTGAGTGCCCTGTGACTCTGCTTGCTTGCTGGCTTGAACACTGCTAATCTTTCCATCTCATTGTCTCTTTGCCCACATTGCTATGCTTTCAAGTCTTACTGAGGAACTAAAACATGAGATATTGCTTAGAAAGGCAGGTCCTGGGGGAGGAACCCCTAGAGGCAGAGGGCTGGTCTGAACCGTGTAGTGTATTGGCTTATCCTTACCACACTGTCCGCCGTGTCGAGAATTGAGGAATTGGGTCCTTGTCTCCAAGGCTGTATGGTGTGTATTAAAAGTAGGAGGGTAATTGAGACCAATCCAGTTGCTGCCTCAGGATTTCTTATAAAGCACTCCACTCTCCCAGTGGGGCTTGCCTTGTTTTGAGCCTGGCTCTTGGTTTTGGGTTTTCTACTTGGGGCTTTGGACATCCAAGGTAGATGGAGCTGAGGGAGGGAAGACCATGCCCTGGTGATGTGCTGTTCAGAAGGTTGGTCTGGCGCAGTGGTCCTGCACATTAGCCTTCATGTTGAACCCAAAAACGCCCCTTGAGAGAGTAACAGCGTCATGAAGCTGATTCTAAAGACCAAGTTTCCAAAAGTCCAATCTCAGTCTTTATGTAAGGCAGTCTGATGTGGAAGGCTCTTCAGGGGTAGGCCGTGAAGGCCCCACAGCCCACACTGTAAGAACACCTGGGCAGGATGATGAGCTTGCTGGTTGAGGCAGCCTCTTAGCCCTGTGTCCACCCCTGTATTAGCTTATTGCTGTCAGGATGAAAGCGTGTGGGGTTTTGTTTTGTTTTGGTTGAGGCTGTGGAAACCAGAGATCCCTTCGCTTTTGCTAGCACCATGCCACTTAGACACGTGATAACATGTTAGAACAGCTAGTATTCTTTTGTTTTTTGCCAGTCCTGGGGCTTGAACTCAGGGCCTAGGCAGTGCCCCTGAGCTTTTGCTCAGGATAAGACTCTACCACTTGAGCCGTAGCAGCAATTCCAGCTTTTTCTGTGTCTGTAGTGCTGAGAAATGGAACCCAGGGCTTCATGTGTGCTAGGTGAGCACTCTACCACCGAGCCAAGTCCCAGCCTCATGGGACAAGGTATCTTGAGGGAAGACTTCTGGAGGAGAGGGGAGGCCGAAGGCCAGGTTGTCTGTGGTGATACGGAAAAGCCAGCATGGATGGAATCAGTGTAGGAGTAGCAGCTGCCGGGGCCAGGCCTCTGTTCTTGCTTTTGTCTCCTAGATGGTAGGTAGGGTGTAAGGACCAGACAGGCAGAATGAAAGTTTTTTGCCCACAGTTGACACTTGTGCTTTACTCTAGTCTCTGAGCCTCACCTGGGTGGGTGGAATAGTCAGACTTTATGAAGTGCTTGGTCTCTTCCTTCATCTCTGCTCCTTTTTACCTGATGTCTCTTGCAGCAGCATGCTAGGGTGTCTGAATACCATGGCAGCTACTTTTGCATTAGGAAGGTGTTGTGCTGGCTCATTTCCAGTGGGAGGCAGCGGTGCTCAGCAGTTAGTCCCCTGCAGTCTTGCCTTGGGAGGTGGCCTTTGCCCTTCTGTTCCAGGACTCCTGCTTGTTGACGAGACAGTCCTTAGTGGGAATTGCTAGCATCTGTGCTGGTCACTCAGCGTGCCTTTCGGTCCCAGTACAGCACACGCTGGGTTAGGGCCATATACTTCACCACCTGCTTTTACCTGCTTAGCTTGAGAGGCATAATTTTGCTTTTCTCCTCTTTAACCTGATCAGTGTCCGTACCTAGGGAGTCTTGTCTTCAGTGAACCAGGGTAATTGTGGTTGCCTATTTTTTTAATTGTTATTATAAAGGTGGTGTACAGTGGGGTTATAATTACACATTAACTCAGGTAAAAGTGTACATTTCTTTGTGGACAGTGTCACGCCTTCCCTCATTCTCTCCCAGGTTTTTCCCTCCCATTTCCACCCACAGGTTATATAGTTGGTTTTCAACATAGTATCTAGTGAGGACCACTGTTGCGTTTTTTTCACCCTTTGTCCCTCCATTTCTTTTTTCTTTTTGTTGGTCGTGGGACCTGAACTCTGGGCCTGGGTGCTGTTCCTCAGCTCTTCAGCTCAAGGCAAGCGCTCTACCATTTGAGCCATAGCACCATTTCCAGCTTTTTCTGCTTATGTGGTGCTGAGGAATCGAACCCAGGGCCTCATGCATGCAAGGCAAGCACTCTACCACTGAGCCACCTTCCCAGCCCTGTCCCTCCATTTCTATCCGCACCCCCCCCACCCCCCTTACCCTCCTAAAGATAGATAAATGAACGAACATGACAGAAAGAAAACAAAACAGCAACAGAGAAAGAACCTTGTTTCCATTTCCTGGAGTTCATTTCCATGAATATTACTTCACATGATCAGGCACACACAGACATTGAGCCTTTGTCTTCTCTCCTAAGGATACCCTCCTTTGGAGCTAGGATTGTTGAGGGATGAGGTTGTTGGGGTAGTAAATGTCCTTATATAAACAGTCAACCTGAATAAACATTTCTCCTTGTTCTGAATCTGGCATCCAGAACTCAAGCTATCTTTTAAATATTCAATTCTTTCTAATAGTAGTCTTGGATCTTTCTGTGATAGAAAGCCGTGTTTTATAATTCCAAATCTGCAAACTGATGTGTTTTTCATTGCTGTTTTGTTTTGGGGTGCGGATCCTGGAGCTTGAACAGGTCATGGCCTGGCAATGTGTTCCTGAGCTTCATTTACTTGAGGCTAGTGCTCTACCACTTGAGCCACAGCTCCACTTTTGGCATCTTTTTTAGTAGGTAAGAGTCTCATTGACTTTCCTGCCTGGGCTGGCTTCAAACCTCGGTCTTCAGATCTCAGCCTCCTGTGTAGCTAACTTTCATAAAGTACGATTGAAAAAAGAACATTGTTATCAGTGCTAAGTTGCCGGCAGCCTTCCTCCTCGCCTCACTCTGCATCTGCTCTTTGGTGGCAGTGTGAGGACTGCACTGTGAGCAGCGTGGCCAGTGGGCTCAGGAGGTGCCACCAGCTGGAGAGGTGCAGTGGCCGGGCTGCAGACCCCTGAGTCTGTTTTGAGACACACAGAACACATAGCACTTGAAGCTTCACGGCTGGGTCTTCTCGCTGAGTAGGTGATGGGAGTTGCTCTCGGGGCCCCGGGGTATATGCTGCTGCCATGTGCTTATGGAGGCTGTGTGCAGCGCCCCTGTGGCCTTCGTGTCCACGCTTACATCTTTGTTTCCTGGTTCATGAAGAGATGGGATTCATGATGTGTTCTAGAGAGCCAGTGGTCATTGTCCCCAACTGTCATTCTTGCAGGAGTGATCGTCAGACGTGAGCTTGCCACAGAGCAGTAGAGCTTGAGCTCTCTGCTTTCCTGAAGGCCCTGATCTATCTGGCTGGCCGGCCAGCCGGCCCCAGGCTGTCGGGCCCAGTGGTGCTGGCCCCGAGGCTGTGCTGTGTGTGTGATATCGGGAGGTGCTGATGTAACTAGTGAGATGAGTCACCCTTCCTCTGGCTGGCGGCTGGTGGCTTCGATGCAGAGTCCAGGTCCTTAAAGGAACTCAGAGGTCATTTTTCATTTGCAAGTACATTTTAGATGAAGTCATTTCTCTTGTAATTGGATAGATTGTCCTGGTTGTAGACAATCAGAATAAGATGTATTTATTACCTGTCTTGTCTTTGTTGAGCGGTAAGTGACGTTCTTGTCTTTAGCATGATCACCAGCAGTGGTCCAATGCAGTCATTCTTGTGGATCTACAGCATTGGCGGCGGGCTTTGGGCCGAAGCTTGCCTAGAGGTAGCTGTCCGAGCAGACCAAAATGACTTCTGTGGTTCTTGGTTGTTTGCTGGACTGAGGGGGGTCGGCAGCTGGGTTGTCCTGATGCTTAAGTTTGTCTGGCTCCACCTTTTCCTGTGATTCCGTGTTGAGTGGCTGATAGCACCTTTGTTTCCTCGGTTCTCTGTGAGATACACAGCAGATCCCCACCCTATCTTGGTTGGCAAGAGTAATTCTGCCGGGAGGGGTGGGGAGGGCAGGCGGCTAGCCAGGGTGCTCTGCTCCCCTCTCCTGTACCCAGCACAGATCCTTACTGGGCTAAAGCATAGATTTAACATTTCTAAATGAAACCTGATTTTTGCCTCAAACTTGTAGGCTAGCTGTCATGGCGTTAGACTAACAAAAGGTGTGCACTCGATGTGTCGTGTGATGGTGGTGTGTGTACCTGGTGTGTCCTATGGTGGTGCTATTGGGGCCTTGGGACACCTTTTGGTCTGGTGTCCCCAGAGAGGGAGCGAGGAATCTGTTGGGCTGATTAAGGACCTTTGCCAGGCTTGTGATGGTTTAGAGATTACTCTGCACCTTGGGGGGACTCAGCTGGCCGCATATGACCCAGCGTGAGAGTGGGTGGTAAATGTCATACCTGACTAGGCCCAAGCTGTGGTGTGAGGAAGGCATATCTCCCCAGTGCCTATCAAGGCAGCACAGAAGACAGCCTGGAACTGGGCCACAGTTTGCATTGGGTGGGGTGGAAGGTGCAGGGTCCAACAGATGGGACTCATAGGAAGGTTCAGGCCAGAAAGGGCAGGGCCTGGACCTCTGGTGACTGGAAGTAGTTGGAAATGGGTGCCTAAAAAGGCTTTCTTGAGCACTTTGAGAGTGGCTCTCCACAGATGTCTATGACCTGGCAGTACCATCACATAACAGAAAGGAACAAGGACCCGCTATTTGGTCCATCGCAGAAAATGAAAATCAGTGTTTGTAAGTAGATGTCTCCATTCTGCGCTGAGTGGACGCCACATGGTTAATGTGTGTGGTTTTCTTTCTTTGCCAAGGTACGGACATTGCTGCAGGAGAAGAAGTGGCCATCAAGCTTGAATGTGTCAAAACCAAACACCCTCAGCTCCATATTGAGAGCAAGATCTACAAAATGATGCAAGGAGGAGGTATGCCCTTATGAAAGCCTAGATTGGGTTGGGTTTGTTTTTGCTGGTACTGGGACTTAGGACTTCACAGTTTTGCTTGGCTTTTTTTTTTTTTGCCGTTGCAGTCTACCACTTGATCCATACCTCCAATTCTGGCTTTTTGCTGGTAAATTGTATATACAAGTCCTTTGTATCTGTCTGCCTGGGCTGGTTTCCAACTGGGATCCTCAGATCTCAGCCTTCTAAGAAACCAGGATTACAGACATGAGCCACTGGCAGCCAGCAAAAGCCTTGGTTTTGCGTGGTGAGGGAGAAAGTGTCACAAATCAAAGTTTCTGGTTCATTTAGGGAAAGGCAAGGGTCTACTCACTGCCTTGACCAGATTTTTGTGTTCAGAGACTTAGGTACTGAAGGCCTCATTGGTCAAAAAGCATCAGTATCAGTCTTAGGCTTTTGTTTAAGTACCACCTTCTTTGGCTAGAAAGTAGTCTGAAGCCCAAGTTTGTGTGAATGTCAGAATACACATGTGGGCTTATGATGTGATATGAGTGTCAGCCTTGTTTGGGGTCTCCTGAGGTGGTCCCTGGTACTGCCTGCCGGGTCATGTTTTCCTTTGAACTTTGGGAACGGAGGCTTGGAACATTCTGGGCTCCAGTTTTCTCTTGGGTAGGACAAAGATTTCCGCCTCTGTGTCCCAAGTGTATCCACCCCAAGGCTTTGAGCACTGAATTCAGTTGGGCCAGGTGTAGAAACGCTTCCACCTTAATCTTATCAGTCTTTTCTTTAAGAATTTTCTGGATTTTACAATAATTTGACTAAAGGAGCAGAAGGGAATTTACTAGGAAATTTAGAACCATGAAGACATGGTAACATTGAAGAATGAGTCTTGCCAATAGAATTCTTCTGGAGGCCCAGTCTCAGCCTGAATTAGAACCTGTTCTGTTTGTTGGTTTGTTTTTGTACTTGTCCTGGGGCTTGAACTTAGAGCCTGGGGTATGTCTGTCCCTTAGCTTTTCCATTCAAGGCTGGCGCTCTACCACTTGAGCTGGCTTTTTTGCTAGCTAATTGGAGATAAAAGTCTTACAAACTTTCCTGCCTGGGCTGGCTTCAAACTGTGATCCTCAGATCCCAGCCTCCTGGGTAGCTAGGATTATAGGCGTGAGCCACCAGCACCCAACTGTTTGGGTTATTTTGAGACAGGGTTCTGTGTGCCCAGGGTGGCTTTATGCTCCACATCCTCCTGCCTCACTTCCTGACTGCTAGGATTACAGGCTTGTGCCCTATCACACATGTGTGCTCATGATCTTTGTATTGTGAGCTACTCTACATTGTCAGAGAACACACATGATGTGCGAAGTATCTTAGGTATTGAAGTACATGCTCGTAACCCCTCATCCCCTTGAAGAGCCCCTGGTTCCCCTGGGAGCCTGAGCACTTCCTGGCCCCTGTTTTCCAGGAAGCTTGATGGATGTTTTGGTTTGCAGGGCTGGGGATCAAACTCAGGACTTTGTTATGTGCTCTACCACTGAGGTAGATACTCCCTCATTCTGTTTTTCAGTTATCTGAGTAACAACGTTGTCTAGAAACATTGTCAAGCTTAATTGTTTTAAAACTGAGCTGCTGAAAAGTTTGTGTGTGTGTGTGTGTGTGTGTGTGTGTGTGTGTGTGTGTGTGTGTGTGTGTGTGTATGTCTCGGTCATGGGGCTTGCACTATGAACCTGGGTGCTGTCCCTGAGCTTTTCAGCTCAAGGTCAGCACTCTACCACTTGAGCCACAGCAACACTTCCAGTTTTCTGATGGTTAATTGGAGATAAGAGTCACATGGACTTTCCTGCCTGGGCTGGCTTTGAACTGTGATCCTCAGAGCTCAGCCTAAGTAGCTGGGATCACAGGCGTGAGCCACCGGCACCTGGCCTAGTTTTAAGCTTCTTAGATTTGGGCCATTAAAGAGTATTTTCCAGCTGGGCACTGGTGGCTCACACTTGTAATCCTAACTACTCAGGAAGCTGAGATCTGAGGATCATAGGACAAAGAAAAGTTTGTGTGACTATTATCTCCAATCAATCACAGAAAAAGCCAGGAGTGGCACTGTGGCTCAAGTGGTAGAGTACTAGCCTTGAGCAAAAGGAGCTCAGGAACAGCGCCTAGGACCTGTTGTCGTCGTCCCCCCCCCCCAAAAAAAAAAAAAAAAAAAAAAAACCACAAAGACGTTACTTGTTGAAGAAAAAACTGCTTAATCTTGGTTAAAAAAAATTAAGCATGGGGCTGGGAATGTGGCTTAGTGGTAGAGCGCTTGCCTTGCAGGCATGAAGCCCTGGGTTCTGTTCCTCAGTACCACATACACAGAAAAAGCCAGAAGTGGCGCTGTGGCTCAAGTGGTGACATGCTAACCTTGAGTAGAGAAGCTCAGGGGCAGTGCCCAGGCCCTGAGCTCCAGCCCCAGGACTGGCCAAAAAAAAATTACTAAGCATCCCACCAGGCACTACAGCTCACATCTGAACCCTCGCCGCCTAGGCAGTGAGGCAGATCTGTACCTCGGGTGCGTGCCACAGGCACGGAACAGTGTCCCCCTACAAGGAGGGTCTGGCTGATCCACACTGGCAACGTTGTTAGTTGACTTACTCATCTTGGAAAGCAATCTGATGCTACCTTTTAAGTCTTATGTAGTCCAATAGTTTGTATCTTATAATCTACAAGAGTCTACCTAGAGAAAAGATATGAGGAATCCATATGTAAGAATTTTTCAAGGGGGCTGGGAAGGTGGCTCAGTGGTAGAGTGCTTGCCTTGCATGCAGGAGGCGCTGGGTTCGATTCCTCAGCACCACATAAGGAGGAAAAAAAAAACAGAAGTGGCGCTGTGCCTCAAGTGGTAGAGTGCTAGCCTTGAGCTGAGGGACAGTGCCCAGGCCCAGAGTTCAGGCCCCACAACCAGACTCCCTCCCCCCTCCCCCCCCCCAAAAAAAAAAAAAAGAATTTTTCAAATTGAGTATATAAGAAAATGCTTAAAAGCACCCTTTCCAGTAGATAAAGTAAGCTTCACCAAATGGCACAAGGATATTGTCAAGTACTATATGGACGTGGTGTTAGGCAGCACTTAGGCATGCTTTGCTTTCTACAGCGTCTGGTTAGGTTACCTGGCAAGCACTGGCAAGGTCGGTCAGATAGGTCATAGATGCTGCTGTTAGGAGTGTTGGAGGTCTCCTGTTGGGTTGGGTTTCAGCAACGTTTAGACATTATATAGTTTACGTTCTATCTTTAGGTAGTCAAGTGATGTTTAGACGGAAGGATTCACCCAGTGTCTTGTAATGGAAGTACTGAGAGAGCTGAGGCTCACGGCAGAGCCATGTGTGGGAGGGTGTGTGCTGAGTGCTCAGGTTGCATACACTGGAGGTCACATACACAGGGAGAGCATGGGCAGTGTCCAGGGAGGGTTTGAGAAGCTCACCTCCTCCTGCCGCCGCAGGGCTGCTGTCTGTGCCTGTTTTCACGTCAGTCTTCACAGTCACCTGCTCCCAGCTTCCCTGGCTACCTTTGCATTGCTCTGGACTGCTACCTTCAGGTTTTAAGGAATCTTTAAATCCCTTCCCCCACTTGGGGTTCTGGATTCTTTATTAGATTTATCCTGTTTTCATTCTCACATCCACCAATTGGCCTGTGTAAAGTCTGGGTTAGTGTGTAAATCCTCAAGGTGTGTTTATTGTTTTTCCAACAACAGAGTGAGTAAGGAAAATGTCTTTCCTACCCAACCCATATTAGCTTTCTTTCCTGTTTTTTCCCAGGCTTACATTTCAGTCTCTTGCCAGTATAGCTGTGGCTTCTGACTGGCCTGCCAGTTCTGACTGCCTGGACTGTTACCCCGTGTGCTTGTGTTTTGTACACTGTCCCTGGAAATCAACTCACATCCAGTCTCACTTCTTGCTACTGCCTGTTGGGCCTTGTTATTTGTTCATATACATATAGCCTGAACTCCAGTTGTGGGCCTGGGGACACGCATCACTACTGCGGTCTTGTGGCCTCTCAGGCCCTTGAGCACTAGGTCGCCCTGGGTGCCTGGGCTGAGGTGCTGTTTGGTCTCTCATCCAGTGGGCATCCCCACCATCAGGTGGTGCGGGGCTGAGGGGGACTACAATGTCATGGTGATGGAGCTGCTGGGGCCGAGCCTGGAAGACCTCTTCAACTTCTGCTCCAGGAAGTTCAGTCTCAAAACGGTTCTGCTGCTCGCCGACCAAATGGTAAGCCGCCCTTTTCCTGAAGAGGCCAGGCAGTAGGGCCCGGGCCTCTGAGCCTGACAGGATACACTGCTCAGTTTCCATGATTACGTCCAGTCATGCGCAGACAGTAAAGGAAACCCGTGTCGTCGTTCTGTGACATAAGGGATGCGTTGGAGGCCTGCCCTTGGCATCCTGAGGACCTTCCCACTGAAGGGGCATTTGGTTTCCGAGGAGACGTGTTTGTAGTCCAGGTCATATGGACACTGCCCAGTAGTGGGCCGTCACTCAGGCTGCTATCTGTCCACTCCCATGGCAGCCAGTGAGAGGAAATGCCCGGCCTGGGTGAGGAAAGCAGGGTTGCGAAAGTAACATGAGAGGTGACTTGGTGAGTTCTGTGGCCACATTCTGCTCTGGCTGAGAACCAGAAAATATCAGCATATTCCTCACTGCCACACAGCTGCTTTCTCTAGGCACATTGCTCTGGGACTGAGTGTCTTACCGTTGCTTCTCTGCTTGTAGATAAGTCGAATTGAGTATATTCACTCCAAGAACTTCATCCACCGAGATGTGAAGCCAGACAATTTCCTCATGGGGCTGGGGAAGAAAGGCAACCTAGTCTACATCATTGACTTTGGGCTGGCCAAGAAGTACCGGGACGCCCGCACCCACCAGCATATCCCCTACCGAGAGAACAAGAACCTCACGGGGACGGCACGCTATGCCTCGATCAACACGCACCTCGGAATCGGTGAGCTGGCCTGCGGGAGAGGGCTGCTTGCAGGCAGACTTAAGGCTATGGCCCATTGGTCTGGAGGCTGTTGACAGACCTGACTTCAGCAAAGGCTGGAGCCATGTATGTTTATCTAAGTGAGTGTGGCGGAAGGGACAAGAGCTGGCTTTTCTTTCTTGGGGATGGGTGGCGATTCTAGGGCCTGGACTCAGGGTCTGGGTGCTGTCCTGGAGCTTTTGTGCTCAAAGCTAACACTCTACCACCTGAGCCAGCTTTTAGTGTTTAATTGGAGATAAGTCTCATGGACTTGGCTGGCTTTGAACTGTGATCCTCAGATCTCAGCCTCCTAAGTATGTGGAATGACAGGCGTGAGCCATGACACCAGGCTAGGGCTGGCTTTGAACTATGATCCTCAGATCTCAGCCTCCTGAGTATCTGGAATGACAGGCATGAGCCGCAGAGCCCAGCTAGGACTAGGACTGGCTTTTCTTAACAGCTGTCTGAGACATTGACATTGCTGGTGGGAATTTTTTATTTTTAAAGTTTTATTTCCAGGGGCTGGGAAGGTGGCTCAGTGGTAGAGCACTTGTCTTGCATGCTCAAGGCCCTGGGTTCGATTCCTCAGCACCACATAAGCAAAAAGAAAAAAAGCCGGAAGTGACGCTGTGGCTCAAGTGGTAGAGCGCTAGCCTTGAGCTGAAGAGCTGAGGGACAGCGCCCAGGCCCAGAGTGCAGGCCTCACGACCGGACCCAAAAAAAAAAGTTTATTTCCATTATGCTTGCTAGGTTTTCTGATTTTATAAACACACGTGCCATCTTTCATGTAGTTCCCTTTTCTTTCCAGAACAATCTCGAAGAGACGACTTGGAGTCTCTGGGGTACGTGCTGATGTACTTCAACCTGGGCTCTCTCCCCTGGCAGGGGCTGAAGGCTGCCACCAAGAGGCAGAAGTATGAGAGGATCAGTGAGAAGAAGATGTCCACCCCTATTGAAGTGCTGTGCAAAGGCTACCCCTGTGAGCGCTCTGCCCTCTGCCCTTGTGCCTGTCCCTGCTCCTCACCAGTGCTGGCTGCCTGTGCTAGCTGGTTGCTGTGGGAAGATGCCTGCCTGCCTTGTCTTCTAGAGAAGGGTTGGCCAGAGGAGCGCATTTTTGTGCGATGTGACAGTGGCTTCTGTTCCTTCTGTTGTATTCCTGAGTCCCCCTTGTCTAGAAGGTGCTCTAGAGAGATAAGAACGAGGCCAGACTGAGTGCTCTCACTTGGGAGCTGTGTAATTAGATTGTACCCTATTGTGTTGATTTTGTCATTTTTACTTATTCTTTTGGAGGTGTTGGCTATGTGTCCCAGGGCCTTGTGCATGGTAGAGGAGGAGCAAAGCAAGCCCTCTACCACTAAGCGACCCCATCTAGTCCTTGGCATTTTTGTGTGTTTTTTTTAATTCTTTTTTTTTTTTTTTTTTTGGTTGTGGGGCTTGAACTCTGGGCCTGGGCGCTGTTGTGCTCTTCAGCTCAAGGTGAGCGCTCTACCGCTTGAGACACAGCACCACTTCCAGTTTTCTAGTGGTCAATCGGAGATGAATCTCACAGACTTTTCTGCCTGGGCTGGCTAAGACCAGGATCCTTAAGATAACCTATATCTGACTAGGTTTCAGATTTTTTTTTTTTTTTTTTTTTTTGTCAGTCGTGAGGCTTGAACTCTGGGCGCTGTCCCTCAGCTCTTCAGCTCAAGGCGAGTGCTCTACCACTTGAGCCACAGCGCCACTTCCAGTTTTCTGAGTGGTTTATTGGAGATGAGTCTCACGGACTTTCCTGCCCGGGCTGGCTTTGAACAGCGATCCTCAGATCTCAGCCTCCTGAGTAGCTAGGATGACATGTGTGAGCCACCAGCACCCAGCTCAGATTTTGATTTTTATGTCGTCAGTGTGTTGGTACCAGAGAAACAGACACTGGTCTGCATTGTAGCTCATAATGGCTAGTTAGCTTTGGGTTTCTCGTTTTACAGCTGAATTTGCCACATACCTGAATTTTTGCCGCTCGCTGCGCTTCGATGACAAGCCCGACTACTCCTACCTGAGACAGCTCTTCAGGAACCTGTTCCACCGCCAGGGCTTCTCTTACGACTACGTGTTCGACTGGAACATGCTCAAATTCGTAAGTGCCACTGTCGGCTTGGTCTGTCTCAGAGCTTGGAATGCGAGTGTTGCTGGCACGGGTGGGCAGGCCTTTTGTGTGTGAGGGCCAAGATGAACGGTGAAATGAGCTCAGCCTACAGTTATGTTTGCCTGTGAACTCAGTACTGAGAAGGGAGCTGCTTGCAGAAGCAGGGAGGCCCTGAGCCCAAGGTACAGCTCACTCGGGGCCTCTCCGCAGGGATTGCTGGCGTTGCTTAGGTGAAATGTCAGCCTTCACTTTCTCTGTAATCTTTTCTTTTTCTTTTTTGTCCTAGACCAGGACTCAAACTCGGTATCTGACACATTCGCTCACTGGCTAATACTCTGCATTTAACTTGAGTTAAAGCTCCAACCCCTCCATCCTTGATTCAGCAGATTAGAGCTACTACATTTTTTTTTTTTTTTTTTTGTCGGTCGTGTGGCCTGAACTCTGGGCCTGAGCGCTGTCCCTCAGCTCTTCACTCAAGGTGAGCACTCTACCACTTGAGCCACAGTACCCCTTCCGGTTTTCTGGTGGAGATAAGAGTCTCACAGAGGGCTGGGAAGGTGGCTCAGTGGTAGAGCACTTGCCTTGCATGCCTGAGGCCCTGGGTTCGATTCCTCAGTACCACATAAACAAAAAGCCGGAAGTGGTGCTGTGGCTCAAGTGGTAGAGCGCTAGCCTTGAGCTGAAGAGCTGAGGGACAGCGCCCAGGCCCAGAGTTCAGGCCCCACGACCGGACCAAAAAAAAAAAAAAGAGTCTCATGGACTTTCCTGTCCCAGCTGGCTTTGAACATGATCCTCAGATCTCAGCCTCCCAAATACCTAGGGTTACAGCCGTGAGCCACCGGTGCCTGGCAAGCTGCTGCTTGTTCATTTGTATTTTTTTATTGTGATTGTAAAGATAATATACAGAAGGGATAGTTATGTAAGTCAGGTAAAGAATACATTTCTTATGTCACCCTTTTCCTCGCTTCCTCTCAGTTTTTCTCCTGTCCCACCTCCAGGTTGTCTAGTTGATTTTCCACAGTGTCCGTTGAGTTCCGCTGCTTCGAGCTACTTCTCGGGAGTTTCCTTTCAGGCGGCTTGTCTTGATTCCGGGCTGCGGGCAGTCCTCTCAGCCCTCCGGTACCTTGCAGCGTGTGCTGTATCACACACCCAGTTTGAACGGTCTTGCTGTTGTAATTACTTTTTTGGCTTGAACTCAAGGCCTCATGTTACTTTTCTGGGCCTCTGGGCTTGCGTGCCCGTGGCTGGTGAGTTGCCTACTTGAGCCGTTTTTTGCTGGCTATCTCCTGGGACCCGCCTCTCCCTGTTCTCAGCTCCGCCCCTCCCTACTGTCTGCTCCACATGGGTTCAGAATACACTTTGGGAAACCTGGTGGGGCAGGTTGCCTAGCATTCAGTTTGGCTCTGTTCTTAAGTCTAGTTTTACCTTTGTCTTCCTCTGAGTGCTCAGGTGTATAGCCCAGGAAGCCCCAGACCTTGGGGCCACTGGTCCCTGCAATGGCCCTGGTGTGCACTTAACACATGGAGGTCCTGCCACCCGGTCTCATGCTTCTGTGGATCATGGTTTCTGTTTTCATTTAAAATGTGTCTTTTGAGTCAGGGTTAATAGCTTACTCGTGTAATCTTAGCGCTCCTGCAGGCTGGTTTGAGTTCAATTGCAGCCTGCCTAGACTACATATTGGGACTCTGTCTCCAAAAATAGGTTTTACTGGTTGAAGAACAGAGTTGTTTGCTACAAGCTAAAGGCTCTTCCAGACATGTCTATGCCCAGCCCAGTGAGGAGAGCATAAACTACCCTGCTCAAACCTGGTCCTGCTCCACATGCGCCCAGCCTGGCCTGGCCCGACCTGACCTGGCACTGGAAGAAAGCCTTCAGGGTAGTTTGCCCAAGTGCTAAAGGACAGCACTGTGCTGCTTCTGAGGACTGTCCAGCTTCTCCCCCTTGCTTGGTTCTAACCTTGTCTGGCCTTGAAAATTTGATCTGAAAAGGGCTAATTACTGTGTATTGCCAACTGCTGGCTGTGTAGGGTTGCAACCCCTCAGCTCTACCATGTGGCTTAACAGCAGCTCCAGAGCACCTATGAGAGGTGGGCTTGAGTCTGGCAACACAGGCAGACAGGATGTGAGCCCAACTCAGAGCATTGGTAATAAGATAAATATAGTTCCAACTGGTGTTTCATCTTAACTGCTTAAGATCAAATCTGTCTTACCAACCTGGTGCGATCCCTGATGCGGGCTGTGTGCACAAGGTGGCTGCCCCCGTGGGCTGGGTCTGGACTCTGCTTGGACCTCTGAGCTCAAGTACTGCCTCCACCTTATCAGCGCACGAGCGCTTCCTAATGAAAAGCTGAGGAGCTCCAGGATGGTGCCCTCGCCTTATGGAGAAGTTGCATCTTGTGGCCTTCTCTGCTGCCCTGGTGGCTTTCTACCCCAAACGCTCCCTGGATTGCCAGCCAAGGTTCTTTACCAAAGCCCGGTTTCCTTCTGTTGTGTTCTGTTCTCGTCTTTTTTGTTCCTCCCCAGGGTGCCAGCCGGGCTGCAGATGATGCTGAGAGGGAGCGCCGGGACCGAGAGGAGCGATTGAGACACTCCCGGAACCCAGCCACCCGCGGCCTCCCTTCCACAGCTTCTGGCCGCCTACGGGGAACCCAGGAAGTGGCTCCCCCCACGCCCCTCACCCCTACCTCACACACGGGTGAGCACACCCATGAGCCTCGGGAGGGGAGGCCGGCCCCGGCAGCTCTCCAGCACGAAGCCCAGGGATCCTGGGCCTGCCCACTTGGTGGTTGGTAATGTGGCCCCATCTTAGTCCGTTTTTGCTCCTGAGAGTTAATGGGCCTGGGGTACAGCTCACAGCAGCCCCCCTGAAATGTCCTTTTCTAGAATATGATCTGTTAAGGGTTGCGTTCCCTGAAAACTGTTTGGATAAATTCCTGTTTTTCTACATTATGTTTTCGTAATACAAGACATTTCTGGAGTGGGCTTTTTTGTGGTGCCAGGACTGGACCTAAGGCCTTCCTCCCCATAGTGCGAGCACGCTTCCCAGGCCACTGCCAGCCCCACGTTGGCTAGTAGGTGTGCTGCTACCCTGGAGAGCCCATTGGGAGCTTCCTGGGGTGGCCTTGGAGGCACTTAGCTACGGTCCTGATCTGAATGTTGGTGCGGCCAGGGCTGCACCCACTGGCTTGTGAGATGTCCTTAGGATCCCTGGCTTTTCTCTCTCTGCCCCAGCCAACACCTCTCCTCGGCCTGTCTCTGGCATGGAACGAGAGCGAAAAGTGAGCATGCGGCTGCACCGTGGGGCCCCCGTCAACGTCTCCTCCTCCGACCTCACGGGCCGGCAAGACACCTCTCGCATGTCCACCTCACAGGTAGGTGTGTGGCAGGCTCAGAGCCCAGGAAAGCCAGGCCCGGGTGTGAGGATGCGTCCGCCCGTGCGGGTGCCAGGCACAGAGTTGAGTGGGGAGAGCTCTGCGAAGGCAAATCTCCTTCCTCACTTTGCTTCTTGAGTGGTGTGGTACCCGCCAGCCAGGCTGAGCCAATGGCCTGGTCTCCTAGCCATGACTGATGGGAACCGTGAACCCCTGCTGTGTGATTTCAGGAGGTTCCTACCCCACGCCCTCCCTGGCAGGCCTCGCACCCGCTTGGATCCACCCTCCAGGATTCTAGATGGTTGCTAGCTGGGGTCACCCCAGCCAAGTGCCTGGGAAAGAGGAGGCCAGGCTGCCTGCCTGCAGTCCCCATGTGGTCTCCCTAGTGGTGCATGTACGAGGTCCTTCATTGGTATTTCTGTGCTGGTGGGGGAAGTGGTCAAGGCAGGCAGGAGGGCCTGCCGGGTCCAGGCCCTGGAGCATCCTCGGCTCTGTTGTGTATGGTCACTGAGGTGCCTCTTTTAACAGACCAGAGTGCCTGCATGCACATTTCCATCTCTTTCCAAGTCCTCTGGCTCATGTGGGGGGGAGGGGGGTATCTCGTCCGGGGAGGCACTCCTTGGGGGGGGGTAGGATATCTCGTCCAGGGGGGGGCACTCCTTGGGGGCAAGGATATCTCGTCCAGGGAGGCACTCCTTGGGAGGGGGGTGGGCAAGGATATCTTGTCCAGGGGGGCACTCCTCTCAGGCAGTGAGCAGGAATTAGCTTTGGAGTTGGCTCCCAGCCGCCGTCCTTGGTCGGCTCACTGGGTGGGGCCTGGCACTGAGTGCGGCTGAGCGAGGCATCTCGAGGCCGGCCACTCTGGGGAGAAGCAGGCAGGAGTGCTGAGTGACTGGCTGTCACTGATCTCTGGTCACTGGAGGTGGGTTTTCTGTGTGACAACTGCCTTCCGTGAGCCAGGGACCTCGAGGGTCTGGCCTGTGCCCCTGGTGCGCACATCCCCGCCCCTGTGCCTCGCACGCTACCGAGTGGGCTTCTTCCCATGCCAGCCGATCAGCACGTCCTGGGCGCGGACCTCCGTGCCCGCTTGAACATCCTCTGCCGGCTCAGAAAGGGCAGCCAGCCGTTCACCCGTGGCTGAAACCTAAAACTCTTCTCAGGCGGCTGAGTCCCCACACCGACCCAGGGACTCTTGCCTCCAACTCACCAGCAGAAAGCTGAAAGTGGAGGTCTGGTTCAAGTGGTAGAGTGCCAGCTGTGAGATAATTCCAAGAACAAGTTCAAGCCCCTGTACTGGCACAAAAAAAATGGGACAGGTGCGCGTGCATGTGTAAATAACACATTCTGGCCACGTGGGTCCTGGAGTGGGTTTCAGGCATCAGAGGCTCTGTGGCCTGGCCCTGGCCAGCACCTGCTGTGGCTGTCTTGGCTCAGAAATCGTAAAGAAACGTGCTCTTCCTTTCATGTGGTGAGCTTGGCACTCAGCCTGTCAGTGCTGGCTTGGACTCGCGTTCCACAGGAAGAATTGTGACGTGTGCTTGCATACCGGGGAGGGGGCTCTGGGTGTTTTCCTTCCAGGAAGCGCACCTCGGCTTTTCCTCTGGAGATGGCTCCTACGCAGGCTGTCCCTGATGTGGGCACACTGTCCGGGTCTGAGCGCCCAGGCACTGCCACCTCTTAGGCACTCGGTGACTTTAGCCTCTGCCCGGGCAGCCACTGTGAATCTAAGGGGGACAGATGAGCTCTTCTTTCTATCAGTTCTTTCTAGACCCCTCTCTCCCCCCAGTCAGGCCTCTGACATGGTAGTTTGGAAGTAGAAGGGCAGGGAGGTCTCCTTGCAGTTCTGTAAAGGCCCTGAAAGTCTAGGGGTGGGGGTCTGTTCACATGGAGCTGGAGACGGGAGGTGCCTGCGTGCAGAGGCCTTGGGCAGCCTCGCATCTGAGGCCACGCTTGCCTCTGCTGCCGCTCCTCTGGGAGCCGTGCCTCCTGTGGAGGCGCGTGCAGCAGGTCTGCAGGGCGCCACGGCATCGTCTGGGTCGCTGGGCACCCTGCCTGCTGGCCTCGCCTCTTCCCGCGAAGGCCTTTGTATGCGGGAGGTGGCTTCCGCTTGGCCCAGTGGGTTAGTCCAGTCCGAGTGTGAATCGGTTAGTCTCCATCCGCTGAAAGCATGGGTGCCGAGCGTCTGGCAGCTCAATCTGTTCTGGGACTTTTTTTTTCTTGGTGGGAAGGAGGAGGATGTGCACCGAGCTTGTCTGTACGGGTGCCAGTTACTTCTTCAGCGCTCTCTCCCCAGACGAAGGTCTGCAGCCGCATGCTCCCCCTGCACGTGCTGTGACCCGGTTTGTAGGGCCTGCCCATCCGCGCCATCCATCAGGCATCCGCTTTTCATAGCGCAAGAGCCATCCGGCAAGTCCAAGCTGTGCCTTACTGGTTGTGGCAGCCCAGGAATAACCACTCATCTGAGAACTGTGTGGGCTCCCCGCAGTGGCCCGTCCGTGTCTGCGGACCTGTTGAAGGCCAGATGCGGGTAGTGGGAGCCAGGGCCTCGCAGGCTGGGCCAGTAGAACACTTACCGACGGCTGTCTTTTCCCCACCTCAGAATAGCATTCCTTTCGAACACCACGGCAAGTAGCTGCTCGTCTCCGTTGGAAGGCAGCACTGGGTGAGTGCGGTCTGGCGGGGCTTGGCAGGCAGCGGGCTCCGGGCAGGGCGGCGACCCCACTGGCCCTGGGGCTTGCAGGGCTGGGCTTGCATGCCAGGTGTTGGAAGTAGAGAGAGGCTTCTTCTGCTTTCTTTGTTCTTCTCGTTGTGTGGGTTCTGGAGCGGCTGTGATCGGCCGTGCAGTTGTCTCTGGACAGGGAAACGCCCCGCCGTGCCTTTGGCCTCTCTGTGACCACAGTCTGATTGCCAGGGCTGGCCTTGGGCCTGGCCCCTGGTGGTTCTGGTCGGGCCGCCTCATCTGGGCAGTTGTGCTGGGATGTGTGTCTGCTGTGCTCAGCTGGGGGGCGCCGCGCTTGGTGTAGGGGCTCTTGAGCTCTTGCTGCGTTCAGACGCCTGGTGGTCTCTGCCCATCTGGCTTTCCTCTCTTTCATTTACCTCTGTCCTCATTTTGTGTTTCTTCCCAACTTGGTCCTTGCCCATCTCGTCCACGCAGCTGCCGTCTGCACTAACCCATCCAGCCACAGCCACCCACTCCCTGCTGTCGGTGCATGGCTGGCCTCCTCGCCAGGCTCCTTTCTTGTCAGCCACGTGGCCCTCAGTGGCTCCTTCCGTTGGGAGCTGGAGCTCGGTGGGAGGGGGCACTGTGCTGGGAGGCCTGCTGCCGGTGTAGCGTTCTGTGCTCTTGGAAGTGCATTGGAGAGCTGCTTCTCGTGTTTTCCCCAAGGCCTGTGGCTTTTTGGAGCACCAGATTAGTTTCCAGGAAGGGAGGCCAGGTGGATCCTCATGGCTGTGGCTCTGCGGTCTCCTTGCTTGCATGCCTTGTCCTCCTTCCCATCTTCCCGCCACCTGCTCTGCTCAGCACAGCTCCCTGGATGTGGAGGTGCCCTGTGCAGCCGGGGGCCATCGCCGGCGTGTCCCCCCCCCCCCCCCCCCCCCACTCCATCCTGTGGTATTTGTGCCCAAGCACCTGGCGGCCAACTCCTCCGGCCTCATGCTGACCTTGTCCTGTGCTTTGGCTCCGACAGATTCCCGGTCGGGTGGCTTCCAGTGGTCTTCAGTCTGTCGTGCACCGATGAGAACTCTCCTTTTTGCTGTGAAGGGCAGACAATGCATGGCTGATCTACTCTGTTACCAATGGCTTTACTAGTGACACGCCCCCCGGTCTAGACCCGAAACGTTAACGCCGGGAGCTCTCCAGGCCACTCACCCAGCGACGCCCATGGGGAATCAAAACACAAACTAAACGGACAGGCTCCACGAGCAGCCATCGCCAGGGGCTGCCACCCTGCCCCCACGTGAGCTCGGTTTTCGCGGGTCTGGGAAGAAGAGCAGAGTGTGGGAGACCATTGCAGAGAACCAGACTCCAGTCAAGAGCCTCTGGGCTCCCTCCGGTGGTGGCGACCTGCGCCCCCTGCCGATCCCACCGCAGCTCCCGTCTTCTACTTGGTTAAGACAGTTTTGTATCATTTTGCTAAAAATTACTGGCTTAAATCTGTGTAAAGAAATCTGTCTTTTTATTGTTTCCTTCTTGTCTGTTTTTGCGGTCTTGGGAAAAAAGAAAGATGTTGACCTTGAAGAGCCCTCGGGCCGGCGCTCAGAGGTGGAGGTGGCAGAGGAGCCCACGTGTTTTGTTTTCTAGTGTTGTGCTGTCTGCTCTGGAGATTCTCATCAGAAGTTGTGTGCGTGTGTGTGTGTCCTGTGGGTCCCATCAGCCCACGTTCGGCGTCTTGCTTTCCCTTCCCCACTGTACGCTGAAATTCCGGATTGGGGCCACCACGTGAGGGTGCCAGGCGTGGCCTTCCCAGAGGAAGCGGACCAGTCGCCATGTGGCGCGCTCCCACAGACAGGCCTTGAAGGCAAGGCCCGTGTGTGGTCGGGGCGCTGTGTCTGGTTATTCTGAGGTGTGTTGAAAGTGCTACCATACAGATGGCGCTGGTCTGCTGTCACCTTTCTCTCTCAAAGCCAAGGAGCAGGCTGCCCTGGGCACCACGGCTTGTCCACAAGACACCCGTTGAAGGGAGTCCACCTTGAAGTGCCACATGGCAGGCAACCGCCCACCCACTTCCGTGTCACTCCTGCCGCTGGACGTCTGGGTGGGTGAGCGGGGTGCTGGGCAGCCCTGCCGGGCTCTTCCCTCCCTCCTCCACCCTGCCTGTCACGCACGGCACGTGGAGGGGAGGGGCGGGGGGAGGGGGTGTCTGAAACCAGGCGCAGTGCACACTGCGGGGAGGGGGAGTGTCGCCTCCCTCTCTTCGGGCATCCTGTGCGGAATTCTGCTGTGAACTGGGCTCTAGGGTTGGGCCTTCAGGACTTCCGCGGCTCCCTGCTTCTCAGCATTGGCCCTGGGCTGGCCGCTGGGGTGTGATGGGGCCATCGCTAGCTGTCTGTGTTAGCCTGTGGGTGCTTTCTAATCCCGAGTCCTTGCCCTGGACATGTAGGGATGCAGGTCTGGAAATGCATGGGGAGCTTGGGGTTGGAGAAACTTGGACGTGTACTGTTGCAAATCCTTGGTCAGAGCTGGGCTTCCTCTCTGGGTGAGCCGCCAGTGGCAGTCCCACATGGTGGACGTGCATTGTAGACGTGCAGGTGTCCTGCGGCCGGGCCGGGCCGGGCCTGGAAGCGCACCTGCCCCGAGTTGTCCAGGACATGGCTGTGATGGTTCTTGCCTAATATTTAACCCCATCATCACTTGCAGGAGACGTAGTTAGAATGTGTATCAACCTGTGTCTTGGTGACCAGTCTGAGCTGTGCGTTTGTACTACCACTGTATTTGTGTACCTTAACAATTGTGTACATAATAAATTCATAATGACTTCTACCTTTCTCCCCGCCCCTTCCGTGTGGTTATTTCACCAACTAGAGCTGCCGTTGTTCAGCTGACTGTGAGGATGGCATCCTTTCCTTCTTCGCCATGGGTGCTGGGTGCCGTGAGGAGGGGCTGGGGGAGTGGGAGCCCGTGAGTCGTCCACTTGGGGATCTTGTGATGTTTCTGCAAAGTCCACGGTGGCAAACCCCTCCTGAGGGCTGGAGCTCTTGGGAGGAAGTGTCTGACCTCACCTTGGTGGTGCCCTTCATGAGAGCCATGACGGCATGTGTGCTGGAAGGCAGGTCCTATACTCCCTCACCTCCCTGACCTGCTCCCCTCTTCCCCTCCCCCCCCCCCCAGCCAGGTCCAACCAGACTCCGTCTTCCCTAGCTTTTTTTTTTCTTTTTTCCCACGGCAGTCCTAGGGCTTGTCCAGAGCTTTGCTTGCTCAGGCTGGAGCTCTGTCACCCGACCCCCCCCTCCACTGTAATAAGTCTCGGGATTTTCCTGCCTGGGCTGGCGTTGGACAACAATCCCTCCATCAGCCTCCTGAGTAGACTATATACATAAAGGCTTCTGAGCCTCCTCCAGCCTCTTTCTGGCCTGGGTGGGTGCCTGTGGTCACCTACCACGTCCCTGCCAGTGGCTGTCACTGTCCAGCAGCCCTCCCACCCGCGCCCCCCCCCCCCACTAGAAGAGGTGCAGAGCCTTGCCTCAAGTTTTCTGAACCTAAGTGGACCCTTGAGAACCTACTGTAAACAGCTCTCCGGCTTTCCACCAGCGTCCACCACCCTTCACAGGGTCTCCAGGTCTCATCAGCATGAGCCTAGGTTGCCCGCCCCATTTATCTCCCTCTCTGGCTGCTGAGTAATACTGCCCAGCAGCCTTCCATTTAGAATCCAGCTGTGGCCCCCTCCCAGCTAAGCAATGGCTCCGGTTCTTGTTTCCCAAAGCCCGACGTCTAGGGTCCACCATTTCCTAGCAAGGTGTGCAGGGCACCTCCTCGTGTGGCCTAAGGTTGAGTGAGGCCCTGGGGCTCCGGTGAGGACCGCAGGCCCTGTCCACGCAGCCCAGCCACCTCGTGTCTGCATGCGGGCACAGGTGGTGCACAGCCATGGTGGCCCCTGCTGCTCCGCTGGGCCCGGGGCTGTCTCCGAGGACACGCTGACCCTTGGGCGTCAACGTGGGGCTGTGTGGCTGCCATGGCCAACACTGCCTGCCAGCCGAGTCCCAGTAGGCAGACGCAGAAGACCAGATAGGGGAGGGGACACCCAGAGCACACTTGCCTGACAGGGTCAGGGCAGCCGTGCATGCGTGCGTGGATGCATGTGTGCATGTGTGTGCACACGCGCGTGGCCGGGCCTGGGACGTGAGCTCTTGCCTCCTTTTCCTTGCAGAGGAGCAGGGACGTGGCGTCTCTCCGGCTGCACCCAGCCCGCCAGGGTGCCCGCTGCCGTCCCCAGCGCCCACGACGCACCACCTACTGAGGGCTCCCGCCACACAGGCCACCAGTGGCCGCACGGGCAGGTGGGTGCCAGGTGCCCGGGGGGAGCCCGAGCACAGCGCGGGCTGGGCAGAGGACGGGGAGCGAGGGAGCGCGCGGGAGCCAGCTGCAGGTCCCACCACGTAGAGCAAGTTTGCCAGCCGGCCAGAGGGACGAATAAATGGAAGGCAGGAAAGTCTATGTTTGAAGCCCACAGACAATGAACAGTCACGCTCGGCCTACCCCGGTCAGCTCAGACTCTGCAGGTCCCAGGCCAGCCTGGAGGCCCGGCACCGCTGTCTGTGGCCTCCAGCTTCCGCCCTGCCAGCGCCTCGCCACTCCCTGAGAGCATGGTGGCTGCTGAGCTTTCCAGTCAGCAGTGTTTTGCAACACGTAGTGCGGGGAAAATGGACAAGGACCAGAGCCACTCTAGTAACCAGGTTGTTTCTTAGTGGGGGTGGGACCAGCACAGCACAGCAGCACAGCACAGCACAGCAGACAGCTCCCGGGACGCGTTCCTGAGACTCCTTCCACCTTCTCGGGCGGAAGGAGCCAAGAGGGGCGGGCGCGGTGGGGTAGGGGGGCGTGAGGAAGGGTCCTGGGCAGTGCAGTGCCGCCCTTCAGCCTCCCCCAGCCCCACGCTCGCATTAAAGTCGTGTTGTCTCCAAAGTGTGGGTTTCCAGGTCCTTGGCCACAGGGGTGGGGGTGGGGGTGCAGGCTGCACAAGGCTGGCAGGCCGGGTCCCTGGCAGGGGCAGCTAGTAACCGGGGCTTGGCTTCACCGCAGATCCACTTTGGAATGACACGGTTCCCACCCCGCCACCTCCCCCCGTAAAACACTGACCCGCTGACCAGGCAGCCAGAGCCGAGCCGATGGCCCCGCCTCAGCTGGTCCTGTTGGTGAAATAAATATGAGCGTTGCCAGTCTCTGTACCTCGTCCCTGCTCCCTGCCTGCCCGGCCGGGCATTCACACGCTGGTCTCTGGGGTGTGAACCACCTCCCCGTTCTTCTCAGGCTCCGCCTTCAGGAAGTGTTCCACCTCCTGCGAGTCCACCCTCAAGTCCGCGGGGGGCTGGTGGAGCTTGTCCTCGGCGGGCGGCAGCGCCGCCTGGCGACGCTTCCCCAGGCAGACGTTCCCCAGCAGCAGCACCAGGGAGGAGGCCAGCACCTCGGCGCCCGCCAGGATGAACACGTACTTGTACACGCACGTCGCGTCCAGCAGCTTGCCTGCAACAATGCCCCAGTCACCGGGGGCTCCGGGGCCCCCAGGGGCACGGGGGCGGGGTCTGGCCGGATCCCACAGCAGCTCCCGCCCACCACCCTCCCAACTTCCTCTCCCTTCAGAGGCTAAAAATAGATGTGACTCTGGGCATTTGCAGAGTCACAGGGCATGCTGGGCCCGGCGATCTTACACACACACACATACACACACACACACACCTGGTGGCCTCCGTGTGGCTGCCACTGGGGACAGAAACCACAGAGGGCCCAGCACAGGAGTTCTGGGCTCCCTCCCCAAGACTGACAGAAACAGGGAGCCAGAGGCTGCAGATGCCCTCCCACAGCCAAAATCATCCCAAATTTCACAGGTTTTCTGTGCCTTAAAAAAAAGAAAAGAAAAAAGAAGTGGAAGTAGCAGTGGCTTTGCCCCGTGAGCTGCCCAGAACGGCAGCCCTGGTGCAGGCTGTAAAGCTGAGCCCACCCCAACGCCTGCCGCCAGCCTCTCCCCGGCCTCCACCTCCTGAGGCGGGCGTCTGGCGGAAGGGGCGAGGCCACGCCCGGCCCGGCCCTGCACTCACCGCCGGACGGGGGTCCGATGAGCACTGCCACCGCCTCCATCAGCAGCACGAGCCCGATGGCACTGGAGAACTTCTCGGTGCCCACGATGGCCATGAGTACCTCAAACTGCAGCGCCCCCACCATGCCGTAGGAGATGCCGAAGAAGATGCAGAAGACCACCAGGCCTCCGTAGTCGCTGGCCGTGGAGCCCGTCAGGTCGGTGAAGCCGTTGAAGAACATGGCAAAGCTGAAGAGGTACACGGAGTAGGGCCGCACCTTCTGGAGGCCGGTGATGAAGCCGGCGGTGGGCCGGGCGAAGATGTCAATGAAGCCCAGGATGGTGAGCAGGAAGGCCGCCTTGGTATCCGGCACACCCAGGTCCTTGGCGTAGCTCACCACAAATACCGGGGGCACAAAGAGACCCAGCACCATGATGGAGGCGGCCACCGCGTAGACGACGAAGCCCGGGTCCCGGAAGACGCTCAGGTCCAGCAGCCGCCGTGGCTGGCGCGAGGGCTGGGGGCCCCCACTCGGCCGGGGCGCCAGGAGCGGCCGCATGAGCGCAGCGCACACGCAGCAGTTGAGCAGCAGGCCGCCTAGGATGAGGAAGCCGCCCCGCCAGCCATAGTGGTCCTGGAGCACCTGGCCCAGCGGAGACAGCGCACACAGGAACACGGGGCTGCCGGCCGCGGCCAGCCCGTTGGCCAGAGGGCGCCGTTTGCTGAAGTAGCGGTTGAGCATAATGAGGGAAGGCTGGAAATTAAGGGCCAGGCCCAGGCCTGCGGGGAAGAGAGCGGCCGTGACCACCCAGTCCCCTCCCCCCCAGAACCACGCTTGGCCTACAGCTCTTCAGAGACTCGGGCCCCACGCCACACCCCGCCAGGCCGCAAGGGTGAGGCCCCACTCACCGGTGATGACGCCCGTGGTGAGGTAGACCTGGATGATGCTTCTGCAGAAGGAGGCGGCCACCATGCCCAGGGCGGCGAAGAGGCCCCCCACCAGCATGACTGGCCGGCACCCGAAGCGGTTCACACACACGCTGCAGAGCGGGCCTGTGGGAGGCACTGGGGATGTGGGGCGGGCCTCCAGCCAGGCTCCGCCCTCCCCACGCCCACTGGGCCTTCCCCCCACCGTGAGCTCAGGGTCACCCCTTGCCCAGGCCCAGGCCCACTGCCAGTGTCTCTTGGCAGGAACTTGTGGGCACCTGCTCAGAGCCCCAGGGCCGGTCTCTCTATTCAGTCCAGCCCGTGCAGGGCCCTCGGGAGCTTCGTCCCCGCGGCTGTGTACAGATACCACACAGGAGCTGGATGGGGCCCAGTCCACTTCCACTGGGCTCTGCCTGCCCTCCAGGGAAGCCCGGGCTTCCGGGCCATCTGGGTGAGTCCCCGAGGACTCCGGACGTGGCCCCGGGGCAGGTGGCCCACCTGTGCCATAGAGCATGGCCAGCAGGATGGAGGAGATCCAGGCCGTGTCGCTATAGCCGATGCCAAACTCCCGCATGAGCTCCTTGAAGAAGACGCTGACGGCCTTGGGGAAGGCGTAGGAGAAGCCGGTGATGACAAAACAGCCAAAGAGCACAGCCCAGCCCCAGCCGCCATCTGGGGCTTTGACGCCGGAGGGGCCCTCGTCCACGGCAGCACCTCCCATGTCCAGGAAGGCTGGAAGAGAGAAGAGCGCGAGTCCCGTCACCCCAGCTGCAGCCCAGGAGGGCAATTCTGGGACAGACAGGCAAGGTCCCTGGGAAGCCCAGGCTAGCCCCTGCGGCCACTACACAGCTCCGTCGTCGGCAGCCTGCTGGCACCGGCCCAGGACCTTGTAGTCACCTTCACCTGCTGCTTTGGAGGCTGACAACTGGGCCCCTGGTTGGCCTCCCGCCTCCCACACTGGCTGGAAAGGCCCTTTTGGGGGACTCAGCTTTGCTCCTGTAAAAAGTGGGAGCTGCAGGGAAGCCAGCCTGTGTCTCCTGGTGCTGGGCTTCGCAGTGGCGGGACCTGCCACCCCAGTCCCCTGGCCACGCCGAGTCCTCCCTGCAGATTCTGCACCAGCCTTGCTCCACCGGAGACCTCTACCCAGCCCCATCCAAGTCCAGGCTGTTTCTCCCCAGGGGGGGCTGGGGTCCAGCCCTTCCCACTCTAGGTCCAGGTGCTGTGCAGGGAGGGGCTTGGGGTGGGGCCGAGACTGTAGGGTTGGAGTGGTGGGCAGAGGGGCGGGTGGCCACTTGTCCCCCTGGGTAGAGGCCGTTCACTGTGGCCCTGCCTGGAACTACCCACAGACTGACCTTGCGACGGCCGATGGCCCCGATGGGGGGGGGGGGGGGAGGCGGCTATCTAAAGCAGGAAGCCACGGGGGAAATCCTGACCCCAGCTACCAGGCAAGCAGCCTGCGGCTGACTTCCCTCTTTATGCGCCCGTCTAGCTCATGTGAAGCAGAGCGGACCAGACTGCATCCTCCTGCCTCACACCCAGAAGCACCTCCCGGGTCCCCAGCCCTGCCCCACAGCCCCTCCCTCACCAAGGAGACGGCTGCAGCGAGTGTGTCCGCCTCTGACCTGTGGCCTTCAATCCACCGTGTAGTGTGGCCAGCCAGCAAGCTGGAGAGACAAGCAGGCCCCGGCTGTGAGGCTGGCTGGCGTGTCTGGTGTGGACACCCCCGCCTCCAATGCTGGGAGCTCCAGGACAGGACGCTGGGTGGGGCCTTTCAGCCCCGCCCTGCCGCCTCCTGCATGCAGCGTGCACCGCCCTGATGGCTGGCCTGGAGGTGTTGGCCAGGGACCCAGCGGGGTCTTCAAGGGCGCCCTGCCTGACCCCCACCCAAGACAGGGCCAAAGAGGCGAGCATCCAGCGGACCCTCACCCCCAGGAGAACAGACTACATACTATGGGGAACTCTGTGTGTGCGTGGTGCTGGGTTTGAACTCAAGGCCTTGTGCCTGCTGGGTGGGCACCTGGCCGCTGGAGCCACGCCTTAATTGGCTCGGATTTCCTCTGCCCGTCCTGGGAAGGCACCCTGGCGTAGCCTCCCCTAGGCTGGGTCTGAACCTCAGCCCTCAAAAGCCCTACAGGCCGGGCCTGCCTCTCCAAGGGAGGATTTTAGGGGTGCATCTCACCATAGCCTCGGGGTTCAGAGGGTGTCTGCAGGTGGGACAGCCAAGGAGGGGCCGAGCATCTGCCCGCCGGGCCTCCCCCTCCCCAGGCCTGGACCCCCAGCCTCCCCACACCCCTGGACCCCTCCCTCCCCACGCCCCTGGACCCCTCCCTCCCCACGCCCGGACCCCCAGCCTCCCCACACCCCTGGACCCCTCCCTCCCCACGCCCCTGCTCCCCTCCCTCCCCACGCCCGGACCCCCAGCCTCCCCACGCCCCTGCTCCCCTCCCATCCTCCCTCCCCACGCCCGGGCCCCCAGCCTCCCCACGCCCCTGCTCCCCTCCCTTCCTCCCTCCCCACGCCCGGACCCCCTCGCACCCGCGTTCCCAGACGTGAGGGCTCAGCAAGGTCTGATTCGCCATCGGGAGCGGGAGCGGAAGCTAGGCGCGCTTCTTGCCAGGGGCCACGGGGCCGGGGTCAGGGGCCGGGGTCCGGTCGGCGCGGCCCCGCCCCGCGCCCCCCCCCCCCGCGGCCCCCGCGGGCTCGGCCGGCCTTTCCTTGACATTTACCTTCCCTGCGAACCAGCCCCGAAATAAACCAGCGGCCCGAAAGCCGATCTGGGCTGCGGGAGGGCTGCCCGGAGGCGCGGCCGCGGAGGGGCCCGGCCCTGCGCGGGAGGACCCCGGCCCCGCTCGGGTGCCGCGGGCCGGGGAGACGGGAAGGCCAGGCCGGCCCGCGGAGACCCCTGCGGTGGTAGCCCCTTCCTGGGGAGGCCGGCCCCGCCCCCGGCCGCCCTGTGCCCCGCCCCCGGCCGCCCGCGCCACGCCCCCGGCCGCCCGCGCCACGCCCCCGGCCGCGCCACGCCCCCCGCCCGCGCCACGCCCCGCGGCACCTGCGGCCGGGAGGCGCGTGGGGAGCAGCGCGGGGCGCGGGCCTCGGGTGGCGCCTAAGCCGGGCCGTGGACGATGGGGTCGTTCTGCCGCCGGCGGGGGAGGAGCCGGAGGCCGGGCGGGGCGGGGCGGGAGGCGGGCGGGGCGGGGCCGAGCCCGGCGGACGCTCCGCCCCCGAGGCCGGGGAACGTGGGGGACGTGACCGCGCCAAGGGAGGAGCCGCGCCGTATTGCCTGGAATAGGCGCCCTCACCCCGCCTCCGGGCGCGGGCGGGCGGGCGAGCGCGGGGCCCGCGCGCCGAGCCCTCCGCGGGGACCCGGGCTCCGGGCGCCGCTCCGCCCGCGGCAGAGGCCGTCCGAGCCGCCCGTTTCACAGATGGAGGCTGAGGCGGGGAGGCCCGGGCTCGCCGGCCGCGGGGCCGCCCGCCCGCCCCGCCCCGCCCCGCCCCGGTTCCGCGCCGGAGTAGCCCGAGGCCGGGGCTCCGCTCACGGGGCCCCGAGTGCCGCACGCGGCTCCTCCCGGCTCCCAGGGGCAGGGCCAGCGGGGCCCGCACCGACCGCTCCCGCCTCCCGCGCCCCCGAGCCGGCGGCCGAGCTCGGGGGCGCTGCCTGGGATCGGAGGGAGGCTGAGGGCCGCCCCGCATCCCGCACCTTGCGCCCCGCATCCCGCGTCCCGCGCCCTCACGGCCGCCCCGCACCCCGCGCCCCGCACCCCGCGCCCTCACGGCCGCCCCGCACCCCCCACTCCGCGCCCTCACGGCCGCCCCGCACCCCGCGCCCCCCACCCCGCGCCCTCACGGCCGCCCCGCACCCCCCACTCCGCGCCCTCACGGCCGCCCCGCACCCCGCGCCCCCCATCCCGCGCCCTCACGGCCGCCCCGCACCCCGCGCCCCCCATCCCGCGCCCTCACGGCCGCCCCTCGCGCCGGCCGGGGCCCTCGTCCCCTCCGCCGCGCAGCCGAGGCCGGGGGCCGGGGCGATGGGGCCGGAAACCCCGGGAAGCGCGCACCCCGGCCGCGGGCTCGGGGCGACCGGCCTGCCTGTGCCGGCCCCGGGACCCGACCGGCCGCGGGGACGAAGCGGGCTCCGGCGCCCCGGCGGGCGCGTCACCGCGCGCTTTTCCTGGGAGAAAACTTCCCGGGCGCGGGGTCCGGGCGGCGCGCGGGGCGGCCCCGCTCGTCGGGCCGGCGGGGGAGCCGTGCGCACGTGCGCCCTCCACCCGCGCGTTCCCGCCGCCCGCGGCCCCGCGCTCCGGCCCGGTCCCCGACGCGCGGACGCCCGCGAGGGCCGGAGGGGGTCTCAGCCCGCGGGGCCCAGCCGTCCCGCGCCTACCCGCCGCCGCCGCCGCCGCCGCCGCCGCCGCTGCCCTCGCGCCGCCGGGGGCGACTTTAAGCGCTCGGCCCGCGCGGCCCGGCCCCCGCGCACGTCACCGCCGCCCGGCGCCGCCCCGCGCCCCGCCCGGACCCCGCGCCCCGCCGCCCCCCCGACGGCGCGGGCCCCGGTCCGCGGCTCCGTCGGCGCGGCCCCCGCCGCAGGGCGGCCGCGCGGACCTCCGCGCCCGCGCCCGGCCGGCCACGGCTCGGGACGGGCGTCGCCCGGGTCGCAGCCCCGCCGGGTCCCGGCCCGCGCCGTCCGCCGCCGCGCGCGTCCGCTCCACGTCCCTCGCCATTTCCATGAAACGAGCGGGCAGCCGGCGCCGAGGCGGCCCCGAGGGGCGGAGCGCACCGGGCCGAGGCCGCGCCCGCCCGCCCGCGGCGGGGAAGCTCCCACCTTCCCGCCCGACACCCTGGCTGCTCCGGAGGCCGGGACAGGGAAGCCCCTGAGGCCGACTCCGGCTCACCGAGCACCGGCCTCGGTCGAGAAGCCCAAGGAACAACGTCGGGCCCGGAGCGTCAGCCCGAGTTCACACCCCCGAAACAAACAGCCCACCTTCCCATGGGCCCCTCCAAGGGACCAGGAGCGGTCAGGTTTGACCCCCGCCCTGCCTGGGGCCTGACCACCCCACCTCCAAATGCCAGAGAAGCCAAGCTCCGAGCACGCCTGCCCACCTGAGAACCAGCCCCTCCCCACCAGCACGCCCGCCCACCTGAGAACCCCTCCCCACCAGCACGCCCGCCCACCTGAGAACCCCTCCCCACCAGCACGCCCGCCCACCTCAGAACCCCTCCCCACCAGCACGCCCGCCCACCTCAGAACCAACCCCTCCCCACCAGCACGCCTGCCCACCTCAGAACCAACCCCTCCCCACCAGCACGCCCGCCCACCTCAGAACCCCTCCCCACCAGCACGCCCGCCCACCTCAGAACCAACCCCTCCCCACCAGCACGCCTGCCCACCTCAGAACCAACCCCTCCCCACCAGCACGCCTGCCCACCTCAGAACCAACCCCTCCCCACCAGCACGCCCGCCCACCTCAGAACCCCTCCCCACCAGCCAGCAGCCCAGCAGGCAGCGCCGCCACCCCCCCCCTCGCCTGGGCTGACCCAACCTCAGGTGGCCGGTCATGCAGCAGTGGCGCCTGGCTTGCGAGGCCCGGAGTGCTGCTGGGGGGTGAGGACAGACTCCCTGCCCCCGCTGGGTGGCCAGCTGCGCCCCCACACCTCCTCCACCCCTCAGGACCAAAGAGCTCAGAGCTGCCAGTGAAGAGCTGGGGCCTCCCGGGTCCCACGCCTGAAGGCCAGAGAGGAGCTGGCTGAGCACCCCCCCCCAGGGAGCCCCTGGAAATGCTGCAGCGCAGGGGTGCGGCCAGGGAGGAGCTGCGTCCACCCTCCCATGGACCGGCGCCCCCCAGCACAAGCTTTCCTTTCTTTGTTGTGGTCCGTGGTGGGGCTCGAACTCGCCCTGGGCGCTGTCCCTCAGCTCTTCAGCTCAAGGAGGCACCCTACCCCTTGACACAGCGCCACTTCCACTTTTCTGGGGTTGGTTGGAGGTAAGGGTCTCACGCCGTTCCTGCCTGTGCGGTCCTCAGCTCTCAGCCTCCCGGGTCCCCCCGGGTCACAGGGGGGTGGGGGAGCTGGGGTGCGGGGCATCCCCTCCACAGGGCCGGCTGGCTCTGGCCCTGCCGCCTCTCGTGTCCGCTCTGCCCCGGCCAGCACCCACTCAGCCTCCGTCCATTCCCGGCCTCTGCTGCAGCCCATCCAGCTCTGGAATGAGGCTGTCCTGGCTGGAGCTGGGGACACTGCACTACTTTTCTAAGAACTCTGTCCCTGGGAGCCAGAGCAGACGCGGGCTTCATTCCGTCTCCAGCCCTGGGCAGGTGTCCCATCTCCGGGCAGTGCGGGCGCCAGTTCCAGAGTGTGCTCAGAACAGGGGGAGGGGCTTCTCAGGTCCCCTCTGCAGCCCACCCAAGCCCGGGAGGTGAGGACTGGCCGGCCTCCCTGCCGGGAGCTGGAGAACCCCCTAGGGCCTGGGGACCCCACCTCCTGGGCCCTTGGGAATCCTTTGTGATTCTCTAGGTTGTTGCCTAGCTGGGCTGCACCCCAGAGCCAGCTGCTGCCCCACAGACAGGGTTGAGGCCAGGTGAAGAAAGCCGAGTCTTAGAGACAGACATCCCAGCCCAGCCACGGTCCCGGCAAGCGGGGGACGCCACTGGCCTGGCCACAGGAACTTCTCTGGCTGCCGGGACGTGGTGGCTGTGCTTTGTGCTCGGATCCAGAAAGCAGCGATGGGGAACTAGCCAGGGAGGAGCTGGGCAGGACACTGGGAGCACTTGGGGAGGCTGAGGGGCCTGGCCTGGGTCCCCACGGGCTGGAGAGCTGTGTTAGCTCTCAGCTGGCCCAAACACAGCAGCTGAGAACAGCACTTCTGTCTGGAGGTCCGGAGGTCCGCTCTCTGTCCCTGGGACAACATACTTGGAGCGGTGCGGGTTTACTTTGGCTCCAGTCTGAGAGGTGTCTGCCCAGGATCCCTTGGCTCCCTTGTTTCTGGGCTGTCGTGAGGAAAATCATCCTGGCAGGAAGCGCGTGGCGAGCAGTGCTGCTCAGCTCCAGGCGGTCAGGACTGAGGAGGAGGAGGAGGAGGAGGGGGAGGAGGAGGGAGAGGAGGAGGGGGGAGGGGAGGAGGAGGGGGAAGGGGCTGGCAGGCCCCGCCCTCTGAGGGCTCTCTCCTGCTTCTACTGCTGCTACTTCAGCTGCTTCCCCCAGCCAGACCCTGCCTCTGGGAGCCCCGTGCCCATGCTCCCCAAGAGCCTGTGAGGCCTGGACCCCCACAGGTCTGTCCATCCGCGAGGTCAGAGCCTCCGATCCCAGCCACCTCTGAGCACTGCTCCACTGGGCAAGCCTCAACACATAGCTCTTAAAGGGACCTAACAGACCAGGACAGAGCCCACACTAGTGGCTCACGCCTGTCATCCACTACTCAGGAGGCTGAGACCTGAGAATCACAGCTCAAAGCAGCCCGGATGAAAAGTCCCTGTAAAAGTCTCATCTCAAGATAACCTCCAGAAAAATCAGAAGTGGTGCTGTGACTCAAAGTGGTAGAATTCTATCCTTAAACAAAACGAGCTCATGGACAGTGCCTAAGCCTTGAGTTCAGGCCCTACAACCAAAAACAAAGCTGGTAGTGGGGGGCTGAGAAAGTGGCTCAGTGGTAGAGTGCTTGCCTTGCATGCCAGAGGCCCTGGGTTCGATTCCTCAGCACCACATAAGCAAAAAGAAAAAAACAGGAAGTGGTGCTGTGGCTCAAGTGGTAGAGCGCTAGCCTTGAGCTGAAGAGCTGAGGGACAGCACCCAGGCCCAGAGTTCAGCCCCCAGGACCGGACCCCAAAAAAAAAAAAGCTGGTAGTGGGGGTGAAGCTGTGGCTCAATTGCTAGAGCACTATCCGAGTAAAAGAGCAAAGGGATAGTGTCCAGGTGCCCAGGCCCCAAGTTCAAGCCCCAGTACCAACACATACAGGCGTGCACACGCGCACGCACACATACGTGCGCTCACAATGTCATGGCAATGGCTCGGCCCTGGCAGTGCATGCCTGTAATTTTAGCTACTCAGGATGCTGAGGTCAAGATCAAAGCCAGCTCAGGTAGAAACATCCAAGAGACTTCTATCTCCAACTAACCAGCCAGCAAAAAGGTCATAGTGGAGCTGTGTCCCAACTGGTGGGACTCCAGCCTTAGGCAAAAAAGCTAAGCAAGACCTTGAGCCTCTGAATTGAAGTCTCAGTCCTGGAAAAATCAAGGCAATACATCTTGCTAAAACACAAAAATCAGTAAATAAAAACATTAAGGCAGTAAATAAATTCAAAGCAAAATTCATATAATCTGTGGGCACAGAACGGCACTCGGCCTGTTCTCAGTCAGTGTTGGGCAACCCCCAGCTCCCTCAGTTTCAAAACCTTCAACACTGTCACCACCCCATAAAACGCCCTACATCCATTACGTAATCACACCCCGCCGGGAGCAGCACATTCATGTCATGCAAACAGACTCACAGGAATCGCGGCCAGCCTCTCCCCGCACCCCCCCGCCGCCCCCCAGCATAGCGTCTTTCAAGTTTATGGACAAAGGAGGATTCACCTTTTTATGGCTGAACACTATCATAAGAGTCTTATGGAGCCAGGTACCAGTAGCTCACACCTATAATCCTAGCTACTCAGGAGGCTAAGATCTGAGGATCGTGGTTCAAATCCAGCCCTGGACAGGACAGTCCATGAGACTCTTATCTCCAATTAACCTCCAGAAAACCAGAAGTGGCGCTGTGGCTCAAGTGGTACAGCGCTAGCCTTGAGCTGAAGAGCTGAGGGACAGTGCCCAGGCCCAGAATTCAGGCCCCACGACTGGCAAAAAAAAAAAAAAGATTGGGCTGGGAAGGTGGCTCAGTGGTAGAGTGCTTGCCTTGCATGCATGAGGCCCTGGGTTCGGTTCCTCAGCACCACATAAGCAAAAAGAAAAAAGCCAGAAGTGGTGCTGTGGCTCAAGTGGTAAGAGTGCTAGCTTTGAACAAAAGAAGCTTAGGGGGGCTGGGAAGGTGGCTCAGTGGTAGAGCGCTTGCCTTGCATGCCTGAGGCACCACATAAGCAAAAAGTAAAAAGCCGGAAGCAGCACTGTGGCTCAAGTGGTAGAGTGCTAGCCTTGAGCTGAAGAGCTGAGGGACAGTGCCCAGGCCCAGAGTTCAAGCCCTATGACTGACCGCCCCCCCCCAAAAAAAAAGTTTCACCGGAACTCTTCAGCCTGGGCTGTCTTTGAACTATGATCTTCAGATCTCAGCCTGCAGCAGAGTAGCTAGGGTTACAGGTGTGAGTTAAGAGCATGGGGTTTTTTGCTCTTTTTTTTTTTTTTTTATCTAGGAATGAAAACTGTTTCTCTTATCTCTTATTTATTTTTTATCAGTCTTGGGATTTGAACTCTGGGCTGTCTTTGACCTTTTTTTTTTTTTTTTGTCGGTTGTGGGCCTGAACTCTGTTCAGCTCAAGGCTAGCACTCTACCACTTGAGCCATAGCACCACTTCCGGCTTTTTTTTTTGTCTGCTTATGTGGTGCTGGGGAATCAAACCCAGGACCTTTGCATGCAAGGCAAGCGCTCTACCACTGAGCCACCTTCCCAGTCCTGCCCTTGGCCTTCTTTTGCTTAAGGCACTCTACCACTTGAGCTACAGCGCCACTTCCAGCTTTTTCTGTGATTAATTAGAGATTAAAGTTTAGCTGCCTTTCACGACTAGGCTGGTTTTGAACCCTAATCCTCAGATCTCAGCCTCCTGAGTAGCTAGGATGACAGGTTTGAGCCACCAGGGCTCAACCTGCTTCACTTTTGTGTATATGTGCCTGTGTGTGTGTGTGTGTGTGTGTGTGTGTGTGTGTGTGTGTGTGTGTGTGCGCGCGCGCGCGCACTCGCATGCACGTGCACACGTGCAGGCACTGGTGATCAACCCCAGTGCCTTACTAGCTTTTAACTTATTATGTGAGGATATAAGCTTATATCCAACAGGGAGCAGACATGGAGAGCTTTTCGTGCTCAAGCCTATTCTGGCTTCCAGGGAGAGTGATTTGAAAGCCTTTATTTCAC